TAGATGAAATACAGCACAAGAAACTAGCACGTTACCGAAAACCATCTTAGAATGGCATTTCCCTAAATGAGAGAATGACAATTCTCAACCCCCCCTCCTGGGAATGAGAATTAATCTATTCCAACCAATTTTGATTTTGATTCTTATAACAGTTTGAAAAAAAAAAAAAAAGGAATAGACCATTCATTCTGATTCCGATTCTGTGGAAATATTTCAATTCAAATTAATTCCAACTGTGACCCAAACTGACCTTTCTAGATAAAATGAAATTTGATATATATATATATATATAATACCAATACTTAACCCAACCAGTCATTTCCAAAGGGAAAGAGTGGAATGGAATACACGATGCTGTAACACAAAACTTCAACCTGATGATAATTCCTTTTTAAGCAATTGAGCCTTTGAAGAGGCGGTGTCATTTTGGAATTGGTTCTACTTACTGCTATTAATCATTAATTGATTCAAGGGCAATGGATCTTTTCTACTGTTTCTGATTATTTATCAAATATCCATGTTAGGGCAATCCTATTAATTATTATCCATACATCAACACAAATATATTAATTCTTGTCCTTATTACAACAAAGTTAAGATTGACCTGTTCATCCTTCACATATTCTAACTCATGCAACCGACAATGGGAAGTATACGAGAAGTAACATCCCCACCTAAACAGATTAATTATAGATGAAAGTCTTTGTTCAAGAAAGATGTGTGCCATATTTTTGGAAAGCAATCTGACAGGTGTTAACATGACTGCTTCTAACTGTCATTTATTTTTAACTTAACCACTCTTAAACATGACCTTAGTTAGTCACAATTCAGCTGATAACTCTTTTTCTCAACAGCTGATATCATTTGGAAAAGGTCAAAAATCATGAATTCTGATATCAGCTTTTTCAAAAAGCTGATGTTGTTTATTAAAAAACAAGGACCTTGTAGGCCACGTTTTAAATTGATTGATAAAGTCGTCAGAATTTTCTTCTATTTTTCTAAGCAACACAGTAAAAGAAAAATAAGAAACTAGAGTTTCTGACCATTTCTCAAATACCCCTTTTTAAAATTTCAAGGTTATCCTATTAAGGTAATTGATAGTGCTACAGTTGAACTCTTATTTTAATCGATCTGACGAGCAGAGCAGAGCAGAGTCCAGTCAAGTAATCCCCACCTTATTAACAGATGACACACAAATCATGCTTGAATTCCCTCCCAAGTTTGGGGAAACTATTGGAATATATTAGAGGATATAGTTGATGAACTTGGAAATATCTACTACATGTATCAAAATCTTTGTTCAATACAACCATGTGCCATGTTTTTGAGAAGTAATTAAATATATCGGTAGGTATGAGATGACTGTTTCTTTCTGTCATTATTTCTTTGACATTAAGAACAAGATTTCAAAGAAATGAGAGCAGTTGTGGACTTTGTAATTAATTCCAATAAACAATTAATCCAATCCTGGATTACACGCGGAGACCAGATCAGAAGATACAACACCATTTCATTGGCTTCACTCTATAAATAGCACAGCTCTCATCCCAACCTTCTCAACCCATCAACCAAGCAATTTGTTCATTTGTTCTGTCAAGACTTCAATATTGCTAGCTAGTGAAAAATGAGTGCTAGGATGATTGCAGTTCTTGTCCTCTTGGCCMTTTGCTCTCAAGCTTTAGCCTCTGACCCAAGTCCTCTGCAAGACTTCTGTGTTGCCATTAAAGACACTGAGACTCCTGGTACTACATCTGCTCTCCCATTCTTTCTCTTTGTTTTTCTTCTGTCACTTGCACAGAATGCAGCCCTATACTTCCACGTATTCAACCAACTAACATCATATTACTTTTAAAGGCATTCGTTTGTTTTTCGGATTTTGAAAGAGTTAATTACTTTTTAAGGTCTTTGTTTGTTTATGGTTTCTATTGACTATTTTACCCTTATTCTTATTTTAGAAATATGTGGGATTTATGGCAAAATTAATTTTCCTGCGTATCACAGTGAAACCCTTTTCGGACTTGGGTAAGTTGATGAACTTCCCAATAGATGGTAAATGAAAACAAATTAAAATAGTCAAAAAGACCCCTATAAGATATTTTTACCGAGGTAAATTAAACAAAAAAAGAACTTGGGGTAATTGCACTTAGCTAGGTAAAAAGGGTCAGGATGTAGTAGGCACGTTAGGTAAGCAAAATGAGCAATTATTTTGACTAAAATAATAAAATAATGGATAATTTCTGTCTAACAAAGTAAAAATGTTTGGACTAAAGGCGCATTAATTAGGACATGTGTTACACAGCTATTACGTGCTCATTCACTGTGCTTACCTAATGTGCCTACTACATCCGGACCCAGATAGGGTAAAAATGTTTTCGAAAAACAAAAAAGAACCTAAATTTTTTTCATTCTTTACTATCAACTGTTATTGACAATTTTGTTATTGTTTTCTGAACAGTATTCGTGAATGGGAAGTTTTGCAAGAATCCAAACTACACAACAGCAGATGATTT